TATTCTATTCTATTCTATTCTATTCTATTCTATTCTATTCTATTCTATTCTATTCTATTCTATTCTATTCTATTCTAATTCTAATTCTAATTCTATTCTATTCTATTCTATTCTATTCTATTCTATTCTATTCTATTCTATTCTATTCTATTCTATTCTATTCTATTATTATTAAATAGTATGGCTCATTCTAATTTTGCTCCTCTGGTTTATTGTAAGGTTAAAATGTGGGACTGGTGGAATACATTAATTTTCAATGAAGAAAATTAAGCAGTGGTAGACATAAACCGTAGCCAGTGGATTCGTGATAGTCTTTCAATGTTTTGCTTCATTGCATGATCTTCTGGTTGAGACCCCATACAGTGGGAAAGTTGTGTTTTCCTTATTCATAGATAAAACAGGGATGGCAGAATAGATTTTTAAAATATTAGAACAGAGGAGAAGGAGGAGGGTTGCCCAATCTTTCTTCCTGTCACCTTTAATAGTCAACCAGGCTTTGCCAAAGAATAAATAAATCATAAGTTCTTATATATATTTGACACTGTAATCTGGTTTGTTCCCTCTCCTCCACTCTCTGGCAAACTGTACTGCCAACTTAACTCAATATTTGTACCATTTTAATATTATGGTCAAGCCAACAGATTGAAAATATCAATTGCAGGAAATAGTTCTGATCTTCTTATATGTTAAAGGGAATCTGATAGGCACATCTAATTGGTAAAAGAATCTGAGGAAAAGTGTCACCAGATAGCTAGTTTTGTAATCTTCTATATAGAGCAATTCTAGTAGCTTCAAGTAACATAAAAATATTAAGAGGCCCCAAGAAATGGGCTTTCCAAACAACATTAGGCAAATATGCCCAACTCTTCCCTTTTGCATTGGTATTTTCCAGGCCTTAATAAAGCAGTAGCAGATGCAACAAAAGTTAGAATGTTAGAATGATGAACTATTCCTGAGTCAATCTTTTTATTGGTCAAAGCAATAAAATATGTTTCAGTTATTCATGGTGTCTTCTTTGGAATCTCTTTTGTTCCAAACCAGGAGCAAGCTTTTAGGACCATCAACTTTTTGGCCATGCTTTTCTTGAAGTCAGGAGGAAAACCATTACTTTTCTCCCTTTCAAATCCCTTTCTGTCTCCTTTTTCACCCCTTTTCACCTCCCATTTCCTCAGACTGCATTACTTGGATTCAGCAATATTTTTACCTCAGATGGAAATTGCTGTAAAAGGAGGGGGGAGGAAACCACCTTCTCTCTCTCTCTCTCTCTCTGTCTCTCTTTCTCTCAGTAGCTGAAGTCATTTAAACAATTTTAGAGATATCCAGCACTGATATCTCCGCCTCAGCATGCCATTTTTTCATGATGACCCCAGCGGAGAATCAACTTGAGTCTATTTTGTGTGACTGTCAAGCAGGCAGAAACCTGTCAGAATAATTTACTGTGCTGGGTACACAAGTGACCAGGCTCAAATGATCATACTTAGGACACATTATGCAAAGACTTAATTGTCTGAAGGAGTCTATAATGCTGGGAAATGTGGAAGGAAATGGAACAAGAAAACAACCAGCAGCCAATTGGATGGAATCTATTAAAGCAGCAATGGGTATAACACTGGAAGATCTGAAGGAACAGGTTGGGAAAAGATTAGCAACCACATAGATACAAATGTTCTCCATGATGAACTGTCCCTAGCCTTTTTGTTCAGGTCTTCCAACTGTGCACTCATTGCTACCATAACTGAGTCCCTCCACCTTGCTACTTGTGCCCTCCTCTCTTTCCTTTCACTTTTTCCCAGCATTAGAACTTTTTCCAGAGAAGTAGATCTTCAGATGGTGTGACTGAAGTAGGATAATGTGAGCCTGGTCATTTGTGCTTGTAATGATTATTCTGGATTGATTTGTCTGTTGAATCATTTCTTCATTTGTTTGTTTTTTGCGGTCCACGGTATTTTGAGAAATCTTCTCCAACAGCAAAGTTTAAAACCAAACTTTTCCTAACCTGCTTCTTTAAAGTCCAATTTGTGCTTCCATAGATTGTTATAGGAAATACCATGGCTTTCACAATATCATCCTGATATCTGAATATTTTTTCCCAAGCTTTCACAATTGTTCTATCAAGTTTTGTTGTCAGTGTTGATCAATATAATTATTAGTCAGAAATACATGAGGTGAAATCTGAGTGGAAGATTGCAGTATATTTAATATAATGTATTGGCATGGACTGAATCAAAGAGGATGATGTAGGATCAATACCTCTGGATCACACACACACAAATCTGAGTTGTATTTGATAAACACAGTACAGAGCTAGATAATAAACCAATCACAAGTCCTAATAAACAAGACAACTGAGATATAAAGAAATTGTAATTAAATAAATGAAGAAAGAAGCACTTGATCTGGAAAATAACTTATATGTACTACATCTGATCTGAAAACATCTGGATGGCCATCAGATGGCAGCAAAGAGATACAGAAAAATAACCGGTTCTTGTAACATAAACAACAAAGAGCACAGTCCCATTATGACATCTTAAAAATAAGTCCCACCGACAGGTTTCTTAACCATAATATCCTCTGTCTCTACCTTCCATTAATTTTTCTACTGCAAGAATTAGAAATAAAAATCAAGTTACTTTGAAAACTTTCAACAAAAGAAAAGAAATAAAGTAATGATTCCCATTTTAAAAATGACCATGCTTTTCCTTTCACCAGAGAATCCAATTACAGTGCCATGATTAAATTATAAATTCTTAATGCTTCTCTTTAGGTAATCATTTCTACCTTTGCAGAATCTGTGTCCCTTAGGCAGTGCTAAGTTATTGAAGCAATATAATGTTCCCTCAGCACTAGCCCCATATGAGTGGAGAAGGAGCAGATCACAACTACAATAAATGAACCGAGACTCTGAAGGTCTTCCTTTAAATTGGACTGGCCGAGGGCAGGGGGAAGATAGCTACCAGCTTAGTTAACTATTTTTAGAAGGACAAATAGAAACAGGAAACAAGCAGTAATGAAGCCAGACATATAAATGAAGACACAAGAGAAGCCAGTGTGCCAATTTTTGTTAAACTGCTCA